TGCTTCTTTAATTGCATGAATAAAAGTGTAATAATGAGAATCTCTGTCAGATTCCTTACTTAAAAATACTAACACACTTAGTTCAAGGGAGTTTTATAAAGGACACACAATTTAAGAAGGTCTCAAGGTATAGGGGGCAGAAATTATGCACCAGGTAAAGTGGAGGCAAGCCAGCTTAGCTAGGTTCTAGGTTTGTTTCCTTGACCGTGTGAGTGGGCAGCGCACCACTCTCTGAAGTGGGTCTTCCGCTGTAGGCCTTGCTGACCCGACAGACAGAAAGCAGACTGTCCGTGGTCGGCACGTAGTAGACGGAACCTGTGCTCTAGCAACAGTACTGTTATAAAAACTAGCGTGTCAGTTCCGGAATGACCCAGGGCTTAGTGTGCGTTGCACTCTGGTAATAAACAGACCATATTTATTCTTCAAGAAACACTGCTATTCTTTTTTTCCTTCAAGGACTCTGGGAATGTCAGCCCACTTGGTGGGACTCCCTCTGGTTAAAGCTCCTCACTTACAAACTTAGCTGGAGACCAAGTTTCAAGAGCAAAGCAAAAAACCTAATACGAGCAATGCAGGGAGAGGGAAAATGCCATCTCCTACCACACAGGTGGAACCGTCATGACGCCATTACCAGGTAGATGGCTGATGCGACAAAAATCCCGTGTAACTGAAAGCTAAGGCCACGCTAAGAGCTGTCTGGTATCCTGACCTACTCAGAGAACCAACAACCAAAATGGCTAAGTAGAACTGGTTTTTGATGCTATTTACTTGCATACTTGACATTCTTTTTAGCCCTATTTTTAAAGCTCAAAACCAGGGTGCAGCCAGTATGTGAGAATACAGTTAGGGCTGGTCTCCCGTGCTCTCCCTTTCTGCCAGCTTCGACCTCAGCCCATGGGCAGGTCGCTGACCCCACCTTCTTCCAGACCAGGTTCCAGCCAAGCCAAGCGGCCAGTCACTCTTGCCCTGAAACTCTGACGGGAGAATATGAACTTAGGTACCCACACAACCTCTGATGAATCCCAGCTGGAGAGGCTCTACTCTCAAGTGGAAGAACACAAACGTGGACCGCTTCTACAAGCCTGGCACCCGTCAGTGCTTGTGGTGCTGAACTGTGGCACGCTTTTTCCACACCAAGGGCCTGTGGGACATGCTGGCCACACACACACACACACACACACACACTCTCTCTCTCTCTCTCTCTGAAGTAGCTCTTGCCCTCCAAAAGTCAAAGTCCCTCTCCTGAGGGGCTCACATTTTATTTAGTTGGAAGCACATATACAATAAGCAAATAATGTATTTCAGATCATGGTGGTAAGGGCCATGATGAACATAGTGCCGAGAGAGACCTAGTCCCCACCAACAGATATCCATGAATGAGAAGAAATGCTGCAAGCAAATATGCAAACATTTTGAATCCCCAAATTTCTGTACCTCTCTGAACCCAGGCCTTGTCTGGTGTAAGGGTTAAGCCAGGTAATTGCTAAAGTCCTTCCAACTCAAAAATTCTACGATGCTTGGCTTTAACAAGAACATTTTCTACTGAATCTAACCAATTCCATTAAGTAGTTCAATAGCTGTGACTTTAAGATAACTAAATAGTTATTAAAATTTCAGTAAGGCAAAAACATTATAAGGAGATGAAAAACTAACTAGCATAAGAGTTCTTATATAACCAAAAGAAAGAGGAACATCCATTGAAAAATAAGAAATGGGAATTTCCAATGCAATTATCAAAAAATATTTGTTAGATTCTTTGCACGCACTAGATTTTCAGTTCCCAACACAATCTGACTCGTAACAGGTGCTCAATAAATACTGTTGAACAAATGAACTCAATCTAACCAAAATCAAGGAGTCAATTAAAACTTTCAAATCTCCAGTGTGCAAGGTTTAAAGTAATGATATTACCTGCTTGTGGGAAAGACATAGTGACAGTGGGGACCTGTATTACCGTCCCGGAAGGCAGTTCAAGTGCCTACCTTTTACCTAACAAAAGGTCCAAATCCATTTCAAAATCTGGCTATTATCCAAAGAAATAATCAGACAAGCACACAACAATGTATGTATAGAAACAATGTGTGCAGCAAATACGTGAGAATAAAACAGGGGCTCTTGGGGTGCCTGGGTGGCTCAGTCGGTGGGAAGTGTCTGCCTTTGGCTCAGGTCATGATCCCAGGGTCCTGGGATGGAGCCCTGCATCGGGCTCCCTGCTCAGTGGAAGCCTGTTCTCCCTCTCCCATTCCCACTGCTTGTGTTCCCTCTCTTGCTGTCTCTCTCTAATAAATAAATTAAAAAAAAAATAAATAAAACAGGGGCTCTTACTGTGTTCGTAAGAGTGAAAAATAGAGACAAGTCTGGACAACCCATAATACGAAATGGGTTAAAAGATGAACTTAGCTACCCTATTAAAAATGAGATTAATGTAATTTATTGATAAGGAACACTATAAGGATTATGATTAAGGTATAAAAGTGATTTAGACATAAGAGTTCCTGCATGACCCAGCAGTTCCATTCCTAGATAAATACCCAAGAGAACTGAAACACACGTCCACATAAAAACTCGTCCACACACATTCAAAGCACCATTACTCATAATGGCCGCATGTCTAGGGGCTATAGCTCAGGAGCAGAACATGTGACTACGTAGTAGCCACATGCCCCAATCAAATGTCCATGAACAGACACTCAAAATATGGTATATCAATGGACTATTTTTTAGTCATTACAAATGATGTACTGATACAGGCTGTAACATGGATGAACCTTAAAAACATACCAAATAAGAGAAGCCAGTCACTAAAGAGAAGCCAGTCACTAAAGATCACATATTGTATGATTCCATTTAATGTCCAGAAGAGGCAAATGCAGAGACAGAAGTAGACTGATGGTGGCCTAGGGCTGGTGGAGGGGATAAGAGGGAATGACTGCTAATGGGTATGGGCTTCTTTTCTGGGATGATGAAAATGTTCTGGAATCAGGTGGTGTTGACAGTTGCACAGCTCTGTGAATATGCTAATAACCACTGATTTAGACATTTTAAAAGGGTGAATTTTCCCAGTGCCATTTTTTACAGAAATAGAAAAATCCATCCTAACATTCATATGGAATCTCAAGGGACCCCCAAGTAGCCAAAAACATTCTTGAAAAAGAACAAAGTTGGTCTCACACTTCCTGACTTCAAGACAAACATATAAGCCAATGCAACAGAATTCAGAGTCCTTAAATTATTATGTATATGGTCAAATGATCTTCAACAGAAGTGCCAAGGGGAAAGGACAGTCTTTTCAATAAATGATGCTGGGAAAATTGGATATTCACATGCAAAAGAATGAAGATGGCTCCTTATCTTACACCATATACAAAAATTAAAATGGGTTAAAGACCTAAATGTAAGATTCAAGCCTATAAAAATCCTAGAAGAAAACAGAGAGAAGCAGCTTCATGACACTGCATTTGGCCATAATTTCTTAGTAGAATACCTAAAGCACAGGTAACAAACCCCAAAATAGACAAATGGCACTATATCAAACTTAAAAACTTCTGTGCCTCAAAGGACACTATTGGTAGAGGAAAAAGGCAACACAAAGAATGGGAGAAAATGTTTGCTCATCATATACCTGAAAAGGGGTTAATATCCAGGATATACAAAAAACTTCTACAATTTAACAGGAGAAAAACAAATATTCTTATTAAAGATGGGCAAAGGACTCAAATAGAGCTATCTCCAAAGATGATATACAAATGGTCAACAAACATATGAAAAGATGCTTAACAGCACTAATCATTAGAGAAAGGCAAATCAAAACCACAATAAGATATCACTTCATACCACTAGAATGGCTACTATCAAAAGAACATAAATTAGTAAGTGTTGGCGAGGATGTGGTGAAATTGAAACCCCTGCATGCCGCTGGTGGGAGTGTGAAATGGTACGGCCACTATGGAGAATGGTATGGTGGTTCCTTAATAAATTTAAGATAGAATTCCCATATGATCCATCAATCCCACTTCTGGGTATATGCTCCAAAGAATTGAAAGCAGTGTCTCGAAGAGATATTTCCAAACCCATGTACCTAGCACCATTATTCACAATAGCCAAGACAGGGAAGCAACCCAATGTCCACTGACGAATGGATAAACAAAATATGGCATATCCAAATAATGGGATATTATTTGGCCTTAAAAATGAAGGCGATCCTGTCACAGCCCAGAACATGAAGAAACCTTGAAGATTTTATGTTAAGTGACATAAACCAGTCACAGAAAGGCAAATATTGTATGATTCCATTTATATGAGTCATCTGAAGGAGTCAAATTCGTATGTATGTATGCATATATGTCTTTATTTAAATTCCAGTATAGTTAACATGCAATGTTATGTTAATTTCAGGGGGACAATATAGTGATTCAGCAAATCTATACTTGACTCAGTGCTCTTCGTGGTTAAGTGTACTCTTCAATCCCCATCACCTACCTCACACATCCCCCCACCCTAAAGTAGTCAAATTCTTAGAAATGGAAATGGAATTGTGATTGTCAGGGCCCGGAGAAAGGGGTTGGGGGCTGCTGTTTAAAGCGTACAGTTTCAGTTTTGCAAGAAAAAAAGGTTCTGGAGATCTGCTGCACAACAATGTGAGCGTACTTAACAAGACTGAGTCACACATTTTAAACTGGTTAAGACGGCAGAAAAAAAAAGGAGGGGGAGGGTATATTTTATAGTATGTGAATTACATCCCCAACAAAAGTTATGAGAAAAATTTTTTAAAAAGCAAACTACACAACCATTTGTAAAATAAAAATGTGGATACAAGACAGAAATAAAATCTAAGAATCTATTGAAAAATGTTAACAGTGTTTGTATCACAGGTGAAAAAAAAAATCTCTATTTTCCCACACTTTTAGACTTTTCTTCTAGAAGAAGAAGAAACATAGTTACCTTGATATATAAAAAACAAGGCACTCTCTGTTTAGGGGGAGAAACGAGAAATGTGATACCTGGGCTGGAGTGTTTGTAGTCACAGGAGATGGAGATTCGCTAACTTTCGGCTCACTTGGGGACGCGGCTGACCCCTGTGACTCCTGGCTGGCTGGCTGGTCTGGAGACAAGGCATCACTGCTGTCTTCGTCAAATGAGAAATCACCCTGAGTCTGAGGATAGTCCTCCTTCCCAACGCCTAAAGAAAGAAATGATTTTCAACTTATCTTGGCCTTGGAATACCAAGCTTAAAATGATAAAGAAGGAGAAACATTGTTTATTACAAGAATGTAAGAAGCTGGCTTAAAAAAAAAAAAATTGAACATAATGTACTTCCCAGAGGAAGAACACACCACTACCTATGATGAATACTTGGGGAAAAAGTCAGACCTGAATCAGATCAAGCCTTTGGATCCAACTACTGGTTTCAGGAAGTAGAGAAGGCAAGAAAAGTTTTCAGTGACCCTGGGAATGCTAATGCATTCAGTAAGATCCAGTATGTGGACAGGCTAGAGAACATAATAAGGCCTGCTCCCCAACAGATACACAGTAAGAAAAGAGGAATAAGACCCACGCAGGAGATTAAGACGTAAGAGAGACATCAGCCAAAGACAAGGTGTAGAGCTTGTGTGGATTTGGATACAACTGTTAAAAAACATTAAGAGGCGTGGGAGAAAATGGGGCCACAACTCGGTATCTGTTGATGAGTCCTACTTCTTGGAGTGGCCCAGTGATACTCACACCTTACCGTTTGGGCTCCTATTTCTTTGGGACTGAACGGAATCATCAGTGAAAGTACTACTTAGAATCACTGACTACAAATTGCCTAAGATTTAAACTCATACTAATACAAAATACGAAGTCCCCAGAGTAATGGAAACTATAATAGTTTTTATAGTAGGATATTAACTTTTCAAAATTGCTTGCTGAATAAGTGGTATTATTCCAGATTTTTTTTTTTTCTGCTAAAACTTTTGCTAGAAAAAAAAGCCTGTGTGTGTAGGGGGGCGGGGGGAGGTGGAACCATTAGTAACTAAGTGTGAGAAGATCAGGATAAAAGGGACAGATATCACCCTTCTTAATAAATACATCTGTACTCATGTGCTGTTTACTTTGCTGAACTGACACTGAACAAGCGATTTATCTTTCCTAGAAGTAAACAGAATTAAATAACGAAGTCTGTAAAAATCTTAACACAAGAGGAATTAAATGGTGTAATGCAATAAAGTTAATTTAGAAAACATCATAATGAAATTGGAACCTAAGGACATCAACCTCAGATGTGACAAGAGGAATCTCTGTGTTAACTGGTAAGAGATGCTAGTCTTAGCAGGCATAAAGAAATAACAATAATAATGGGAATTGGTGCAAGTGTTAATCAATTTCTACTTCACCCAGAAAACAACACTCATAATTGGTGCTGGCTTTTTAGATTAAATTTGTTTTAAATTTCCAAGTTGCTCTTTCTCCCAGAAAACAGTAAATTTTTGGCGTCTTGCCTATAATTGCTTCCTTAACACTGGAGTCTACAGGAAGGATGTTTTTCTCTACCAGCTCCATAGGACCAGGTCTTTGAGCAATCTTTTCATTCAGATCATCAGCTAGTCGAGCTCTTTTCAGCTTCATCTGAGTGGCCTGCAAGGACGGCTCTGCAAATGTCTCTAAAAGAGGAAACACAGTTTTAACCATTACTTGAATTACTCTATTCCATAATGTTATTTCAGGCCAACTGAATTTAATTTAAACTGGCTTAAACATATTTTTGTTTATGTGTTCTCAATGTATTTATGGAAAGAGAAAATGACCGTTTAAGAATGCTCCAGTATACATTTATATATTTTTAGTCCTGGATACTTTATATTGTCTATACAATGCCCTCAGACTCAAATTAACATGAACTGAAGCCAAAAACTGGTGTACTGCTATTGTTCATTTATGGTAGGAGGGTTACATTGACATTTATTCGGTCTTGGAGATATGGAGGATGGACAAGAGAGATGTGGTCCATGGCTCAAAAAGTATACAGTTTTAGATTTGGCTGCCTTGGAAAGTCAATTCCTAGAAACAGGGGCACTGGATCTTACTTAGGTTATAAGCTTCTCTGCAGGAGTTAATGGGAAGAGCTACAGATCATATTCTTAGATTGATCCCTGTGTGTCTCATAATTAAGAATCTGGGTTTAGTTCTGAATATATAACTTTGAAACATTCAATTACTAGGTAACTAATGGTCATAAAGAAGCCTCAACTCATCTACTTACAAATAGATGAAATTGTACAACAAATGTGAAAGTAATGTAAATATCGTAACTCATTCATTTGGGTAATTCTGTCAATGACTTGCATTTCTGGTACCTCTCATTAACATTTTATTATTATTATTATTTTTAAAATTTTTTTATTGTTATGTTAATCACCATACATTACATCATTAGTTTTTGATGTAGTGTTCCATGATTCATTGTTTGTGCATAACACCCAGTGCTCCACGCACAATGTGCCCTCTTTAATACCCATCACCAGGCTAACCCATCCCCCCACCCCCTCCCCCCTAGAACCCTCAGTTTGTTTTTCAGAGTCCATCATCTCTCATGGTTCGTCTCCCCCTCCGATTTACCCCCCTTCATTCTTCCCCCTTTTTTTTTTCTTAACATATATTGCATTATTTGTTTCAGAGGTACAGATCTGTGATTCAACAGTCTTGCACAATTCACAGTGCTCACCATAGTACCTACCCTCCCCAATGTCTATCACCCAGCCACCCCATCCCTCCCACTCCACCCCCACTCCAGCAACCCTCAGTTTGTTTCCTGAGATTAAGAATTCCTCGTATCAGTGAGGTCATATGATACATGTCTTTCTCTGATTGACTTATTTTCACTCAGCATAACACCCTCCAGTTCCATCCACGTCGTTGCAAATGGCAAGATCTCATTCCTTTTGATGGCTGCATAATATTCCATTGTGTATGTATACCACTTCTTCTTTATCCATTCATCTGTCGATGGACATCTTGGCTCTTTCCACAGTTTGGCTATTGTGGACATTGCTGCTAAAACATCGGGGTGCATGTACCCCTTCGGATCCCTACATTTGTATCTTTGGGGTAAATGCCCAGTAGTGTAATTGCTGGATCGTATGGTAGCTCTATTTTCAACTTT